GTAGCCTGTCCCATCCCAGTGATACCTGACATCCTTTCAGGTCAATACCGGGGTCATTGTCAAACCTTACTGAGTTCGGCGTGTCTAGCTGCTCACGTTATATGAGGCAATTCAGTCGGAATCCTGTTGTAGGAAGACACTTTCAGCCTGACCTTGAAGGTGCTGAGCTCCAAGCAGGCAGACTGGGGTGCTGCTATTATTTTTTTTTAAGTCCACAGCAAGAAGCAAGGGTCTGGGTTTGAACTAAAGAGGGAGCTGCAACTGTTCCATGACTACGAACCTACAGCTGGCAAAGTCAGTGGGAGTCTTTCCATTGACATCAAGGGCTTTGGATCAGGCCCTCAATTGGTGAATAAGGACTGTTTACGATAGAGGATCCCACAAACCCAGAGCTCAAAACCATCAAAAACTGAGGCGGAGACGGAACAAGGGAAAGTGGCCTCCAAAGGGCCAGAATTAATATATAAGCCTTCGTGAGGTTCTTGTCAACATCCTGGAAGCAGGAAAGACTCGTGTCAACCTGGCATATTCGCTGCTGATATGCTGACCAAGAGCAAAGGCATGATGTGACAGAGCCTTGCAACAAAGGTTTTGCCTATTAGGAATAATATGTAGGATTGTTACTGATCCACCAACCCATCCTAGACCCGCAAGAAGGACCTGGCTTCGGGCAGTTACTGAGCCTTCCTGTTAGGTGGGAGAACTCTACTCAAAATATTGTCCACAAGGAGTGGATTGACACGGCAACCGTGCAAAGAACAAATTCTGATCTAATAGTGCCCCCGGTGATGCTGCCAACCTGTGACAAATGAGATTTTTAAAGGATGCTGTTGAGTCACAAATCTGAGATTTTTAGGGGTGGAAGAAAGCACATTTCTTTCCCTGTGTTACTAATGTAGGTTATTAGACTTGGAAACAAATTAAAAATCAAGCTCAATAACTGACTTATTACCTGTTACACCATTTCCTTTTCTTTACTCAGACTGGAGAATGAAATAGACTAGTCATTTCCCCTTCTTAGTTCTCATTCACCAGCCCAATACTCCCAAACAATGCCAGGGAGTTTTAAATGTAAACACAAATCTTTTCATTAGATTAATGGCATGGAGAAATAAAGCTTGGGAAACCAATGCCATGGAAAAAATGACAGATTGCTTTATACTGGGATCAAGCAGATTTTAGTGTATGGTCACTGTGTTTTTACTTTTGAACAAAACAAATAGAGACAACAATAAGAGGCTCACCAAATGCAAATGGGACTTTTAAACTTGACAGATATAGAGGGGGAAAGCAGATGAGGAACAGGTCAAATGATCCTATATGAAGGGATATACATAGCAATTGATTATGACTTATATGTGATTTACAAAGGAAAAAACAGCAGAAGAAGGGAACACTTCCAGAAAGTCTCCTCCATGGAAGGCAGAACAACTATTCACATTTGGACACTATGTGCAGGGGAGGATAACTAGACTTTTATTTGTTTTGTCAAAGTCTAGAGGTCTAAGTGCCTCTTGTGTGGATTTTTGTTAAAGGTTAAATAAAGTGGAATTAGGAGACGAGAGATACATGGAAATGGTTATGATTAAGATTGATTGTACTGGTGCAGAAGGATGAATGTGTTAGGTAAGGTTAATCAGGATAAATATCTACATAATTTGATATTGTTTTTCAGTATGTTAATGACAAATTGAAAAGTGTGTTTTTAAACATGCTTTTCATTAGACTTGGGGGCAGGGACATTTCTTTGCCTGTTAGATCTTGCAAAACCTCTTTGTTATTGTAGTGCGGAAAGGCCCCAGCTGAGAGCAGGACCCCATTGTGCTGGGTGCTGTATGAACACATACTAAGAGACAGCCCCTGAAATGTGTACACTCTACATTAGACAAGACAGACAAAGGGAGCATTATTATCCCCATTCAACAGATGAGGAACTGAGGCACAGAGAGACTAAGTGATACAGCCATAGTTGCATAAGATGTCTGTGGCAGGGCCAGAAGTTGAATGCACAGCTCCCGAATCCCAGGCCAGTCAACCCCTGAACCACAAGACCATCCTTCTTCTCCAAAAAGACCTAAATTTGAGGGACTAAACTACCAGATTGAATCCGTCAGACCTGTAAAAAGACACTGACTTCAAAATTCCTTCAGCTGAAGAGTGAGAGATGTTAAAAATTGTTAGCCCAACTGAGCGAGTCTCTCTCAAGAGGCCTCATCAAACGTGCACTAACGTCCATGAACAGCCTCCCCTTGCCTTTGGATCAAGCGCTAAAGGAGTGAGACTTGGCAAGTCTCCTGCATTCTTAAGAGTTCTCTCTGAGCCACAAGGGGCAACCTAAAGCAGTGCACCCACTCCCTCCAGCCCTGTGGCAGACTCTGCATGTATGGCACAGAAACTTATGTAAGGCCTGTCCACTCGCTCTTTCTTGATAGATCCATTTCTCCTGTAAGATTGACTTACACTGGCTCCTAGCCACATTCACCCCATTCTAATTGTGCTATAACCAAAGCTGCAAAACTTGACTCTGGGCTCAGGATTTTGAAATCTCCAAAATCTGTGGGTGTTTGAATCTGGGCTTTCGGAGCAGGCCCATCTTTTCTGTCTGTCCCATGCAAAATGCTTGGGCCCTGAATATGTTTGTATAAAAAGGGTGCAATAGAGGAATATACATGATGATACATGTTGCTGCTTCCTTCTCCCCTCCCTCTCCACTTTCCTTGAATTAGCCACTTGGTTGCACTGCTCCTCTGGCTTTATGTACTGATGATAATAAAGTAATTGCTTGTGACAGGCGCTGTTCTTCCCTGATTCAGCCATACACCTTTCCTAACCTTTCCTGCTAAACTCCCAGAGTGCAGCCACACAGGCCTCCCCGTGAGGCTCGAGTGACTGACATCTCTGTCTGAGGGACGCTGCCTCAGCTTAGAGCATTTCCTTTTTCCCAGAGAGGCTTTCACAGCTGATCGCCGCTCAGCGTCCCCAGGGAGGCAGGCATGGACTAGAAGGGTAAATAAAGAGGACTTCTCAAATCTGCCCCCTACTCCAGGCCCAGCCCCCTTCTTCATTTAGACCTGGCTGGCTCACAGGAGGGGCGGATGGCTCTTTGTTCCCATCCTAATTCTCACTGGGGCAGGGAATAAAGAGGGTCAGACTCCCTGTGGTGTGTACCACTGCCCATTACTGGACGGGATCGGTCAGGCCAGCCCCAGTATGTATCGCTTTGCAAAGCTCTCGCCCTCTGTTGCCTAGGGGCTTGCAAAGAGAAGATGTCACTGCCACTTGAGCGCTAAGCAGTAGGCACAGTGCATACCATGGATGAATCTGCTGGATCTTTACTGCTTACCTTCCCCCTGCCCAAACTTGGCAACGTACTTAAGCACGGGCCTACCTTTTAAGCACATGGGGAGAATCCCACTGAAATCAAAGCTTGAAGTTAGGCCTGTGTTTAAATACCTTATTGAATCAGGGCCCGAATGAGCTGTGGGGGAAAGGATCTGTTCAGTGCCCAGCCAGTAGAGGGCTTCTGAATCCCCAGCATCAGGTACAGGAAAAGGAAGCAACATCCAGAAATATCGGGGGATGAGCGGCAGTTTGGAGCCAGAGGTTATGTGGGAGCAGGGAGTGTCACCAGCTGAGGCTGCTTGCTTAGTATCACTTGTTTAGCGCGGGCACGGTGCAATGCACCCAATAGTTGCAGTCCCTGCCCGCAAGAGCTTGCGATGTGAAGGAAAGCCATGCAGAGGACAGAAAGCACTGGGAGAACCAGCAATGACTGTCCTTTCAGTGTGACTTCGGTTTTAGCCACCTCTCTCCTCCTTCAGTGTCTTGAGAGCCTCATGTCAGGAGGGTGGGAAGCACCGAGGGTACCGGCATGGCAGACAGCTTGGGCACGGCGTACTGGGCACCGCAGTGAAACATGTCGGTTCTGGGAGTGACCTAGCTGTCTGTGGTGCAGAAAAGCAGCAGGGCATTTCTTGTTTTTATGCTACAGAAAGGTGGCTGGAAAGAGAATCTGTGGGAGAACGGTTCTTGGGTGGAGGAATCTGCAGGGAAGTGACCAAGCACCAGATGGAGTAATGGAACACCCAGCCGCTAATGAATTACACCATGGGAGTGACATGGACTCAGATCTCTGGCCGGCCAGTCTGCATGCAAGCCTCTCCCAGCAAGGGCAGAGCGACTATCTGAGGAACAAGAGCGTTCAGAGAGTGCCACAGAGGCGAGGCAGCACACAAAGCTGCCTCTAAGCCCGGCTCCTTCTGGTGCTGTCTCCTGGAAACAGGGCAGCTCTAGAGTGAGCGTGGCTCACCCTGACAGCAAGGAGCAGAGTGAGGCTCGCAGCCCCCTCCCCTGGCATGTGCTATTTCTTTGCTTCCACCCCTGCACCACAGTCACTCCTCTTCGTATACCATGACCTCACCCTGCCGGGAATGGAAGTGGCAGGGGTCACCATTAGGCGGCTGGGAAGGGAGCCTCTGCACTTCCCAGGCCATCCCTCCCTGTTTCTAAGACTCCATCCAGGAGGAGGGATGAGTAGCCCCCATCCCAGCCGAGGGCCATGTGCTCAAGGCCCTGAGGGATGGCAAAGAGTTTGCAGGGAAGCAAGGCTGGATATCAGGGTGGTGAGTGACTAGAATCGGGGCCCGGGGGTGTGTGGATGGAGACAGCTTGGGGGAAGGGGGAGAGCTTGTAGGATAGTGGCCACCCCTTTACAGAGTGGGTGGGGTTTCTGTCTCTGGGGTGGTGTGTGTGTTCATTTCGAGAGGATGCTTTGACAGTGCCAGTATCCTTCTCTCCCTGTTGATTGGGCGGTTAAATCACGGGCCAGTGGATTTGTCTGTAGAGCAGGCAATTTAATCTCATTCTAGTCCTGATGCCTGGAGACTGTGCAGCCTTCATCTCTGACCCGTAGTGCCTTTCCAGCCCCCTCCCCCACTTTCTCCCTCTGTTTCTTTGCTCTCACTCGCTTGCTCTCGGCTCTCTAAAGCTTTCGTTCCTACCTCGAAACTCTCTGTTTCTGGCTCTTCACCCCCCTTCACGCTGGTCTCTGTTTCCTGTGGCTCTCTGCGGCCCTGGGCGGGTCTCCCAGGCTGTGACTTCTTCAGCCTCACGATCTCTTTGTACAGGTGCTGCCCCAACAGCTCTGATTTGCAGAGTCTCTCCTTCAAGACCTGCATCTCCTTTTAAAAAAGGAAACCTGTAAATGCCAAAGCCAACCACTTGGGGCCATACTCCCTGCTGGCAGCACCCCCAGCAGCCCTGGTTTCAGCACCTATGCTGCTGTGTGACTCTCATTTTTATCCTGGGACACTTCACTCCCTCACCGTCGATATTTGCCCCGTTTCCCAGCTGTTGGAATGAGCCTGGATGGTGGCGGTCAAATTGGCCTCAGGCCTGTAATGACACCCGCCCCAGGCTGGGCTGTCAGCAGGGGTTGAACCTACTACCTCCAAAGCCCGAGCCACTACCACAAACACACTGTCCTGCAGCTCACTCAGAAGGAGAAAGGAGATGGACCAGTGGTCTGGCCAATGAAAGGTCAGTCCCAAAAGATATAGTCTGTGCTCCGCATGTAGCCTTAGTGGTGGATGGGTGTATTGATTACTGATTAATCTCTTAGACTGCAGCAGTGCGCTCCTAGGGTCTCTTAATACGAATAATATTCCCGATGTTGTAGCCCTCAGGAGACTGAATCTTTAACCAATGCAGTCTGAGAGGTTAATCAGTAATCAGTACACCCATCCATCAGTTCACACTAGCCAGGCTGCCGGTAAGAACCCCCGCATCCCACTCACCTGAGGGTCTTGGACTAGACTGAACATCCAGGGCACAGTCCATCTTGTCACAGCTCCCTCCATATTTTCTTACGTTCAGTCTATAATAGCTGTAATGGCCTCAGAGCAGAGCATTGCATGAGCCCTGTTGTTAACCATGACAACAGCTACTTACACTGGACAGTCAGTGCACTGATGTGGTTGTTGTTTAAATGTATTTGGGTGTCGGAGCCAGTTTCTGCTGGACTGACTCTGTATTTGTTTGTAGTTCTTATCGGTGAATATTGGCCTGTCAGCCGCTCAGCAGATGTGGCACGGATGCCACTGGACCTCATTTTGCCCATTAAATGCCCGCGCCTGCCTCTTTCAGAACTGATCTCTCTGTTCACACTTATAAAACATTTGTATAAGGTATGTCTGCATGCTACATAGGCCTGTCGAGTCTGCACCTAAAACTTAGGTCAACACCTATTTACGTTGCTCGGGGGTGTGAAAAATTCAGACATGGTTAATCTGACCCAAACCCCAATGTAGACCGCGCAGGGGCTAACAGAAGAATTCTTCCATCAACTTAACTGCGAGGTGGATTTACTACAGACAGAAGAACCCCTCCCTCGCTGGAGTAAGTGTCTACACTACAGCAGCACGGTTGCTGTGTGGCAGCTGTGCCACTAGAGTGTTTCTAGTGTAGACGTAGCCTTAGCCCTGAGAATCACAGGCGATTTTGTTCTGTTATCCAGCTCCACAGTTCTTTCGCTACCTCTATTGCTTGTGGGGTGCCCAAGCCCCGGCTAGCCTGGTCTGTCCGGGTGTGTCTACACTGCAAAAATTCCCTGTGGCACCAAGTCTCAGAGCCTGCCTGGGTCAACTGACTGGTCTCGCAGGGTTTGGAGTGCCCGGGCTAAAAATAGCAATGTGGAAGTTCCCGCTCTGGGTGATGTCCAGGGTCTGAGATCCTCCCCCCTTGCTGGGTTTCAGTGACTTACCCTCATATGGAGCTCCTTTTCAGCCTGCAGTTCAGAGCTCAGTCTGTCTATTTCCTTTTGAAGATGCTCTGGCTGGTCTCTTTTGGTTTGGTACCTACAGAAACCCACAAGATCATTACACTTCTCTGTCCAATTCCAAACCATGTTCAGAGATATCTCAATACAATAGACATGTTTCAGACATTTTAGAGACAACCACAGTGCTTGGTGCCTTATAAATGCCTAGACAGACAGCTAACCCTAATTTCCTCTGTTTCCATGTGTGTTTGTGTGTTTGTGTGTGTGTGTTTCTGCTTGCCTTATTGCCAGAGGATGAATGAAATGAGGTCACAAGAATTACCATCATTATCTTCTTTTCAGTTTCTACCTACACTGCCTTTCCATCCCCTGGGCAAGACTGGATAGGGACTCCCTTTCGAATGCATCAACATTGCTCATGGGTTAGTACTATGATCTTTACATCAGCAATATGATCAATATGTTCATTACACTCCTGAACCCCTTCCAGCTCCCCCATCCTCTTCCACTCGTAGCCGTAAAGCAGTTTGTACCAATTGTACGTGAACTTTTCCTGATGGGGGTGGAATCACTGGGGACTGAAACCCCCGTCCCTCCTAACTAGTTTTGTGACACATTAACCAAGTTATGCCAAGCCAATTAAAATGCCTGGTGTCCTTATTTTGAAAACTCTGGAGCAATAACAGAAGCTCAGGAGGCCCCAGCATAAAAAGGCCACCCAGAAAGGGAGGAGCAAGAATCCTCAAAAGTTATGTACCTGAGGCAACTTGTGTGCAGAGGCTGAGGCGGATAGTCTGTCTCTAATTATTAACATAGTGGATTTGGGAGGAGTTTTATTATAGTTATGCTGCTGTTTATCGTTTACAGGAACACCCATTTTCTTTTCAACTTTTCCCCATTTAAAATGTTACATTGCAGCAGGAGGATGAGAGATATAGCACAGTGGTTCTCAACCTGGGTGAGCGTACCCCTGGGGTACACAGAGGTCTTCCAGGGGGTACATCAACTCATCTAGATATTTGCCTAGTTTTACAAGAGGCTACAGAAAAAGCACTAGTGAAGTCAGTACAAACTAAAATTTCATACAGACAAAGTATGCCATTTTTCAGTTCTAGTGTGCTGGGACACTTTTGTATTTTTATGTCAGATTTTGTAAGCTAGTAGTTTTTAAGTGAGGTAAAACTTGGGGTACACAAGACAAATCAGACTCCTGAAAGGGGTACAGTAGTTTGGAAAGGTTGAGAACCACCTCAGTGGCAGAGCATTTAACTGCAGATCCAGCTTCAAATCCAGATGCCCTCTCAAAGCAAGATGAGTGATCGTGGAGAGGCTATGCACTCTGACTGGCTCTTTTTGCCACCACCACCCCCATCCCATTCTGAGCACGCAGGATCTGGACCTCCAATCCGTGTTATGCAAGTAACTAGTATGCAATTAACTGGAGCATCAACACATGCAGTCAGATGGGGCCAGATCAGGGCTCCCGATTAGCAGTTAAGTGATAGGCTCTTACTGTAAGTGATGTGCCTGGGTATATAGACATTGTCGCTGGTGGCCCATGAAGCTGAGGTGGAAGGGCTGCCTGTGAGCTCTCTGATCAGGTACCAGGAAGCTTGCCATGTTAACAGGAGATGAAGCCTGAGCACTATCTCCTCTGGGAAGGCTGGGAGCCACACAGGGCTTCCGCCCCTTGCTGGTTGTGACTTGTGTCTTCTTGACATCACCTCTGATGTGTTGATGTCACGACTGGTCAGACAGCTTGCCTTTCCGATGGGAACATTGCTCCCAGGCAGGATGTTCTCGTTCTTGGCTTTGAGTGCAGTGCACATGTGATTCAACACGGGTTTTTCTGTGGTATGTTCTTTAAATGCAGGAAACCCAGAGTTGTCGGAGGAGAGAGAGGAAACCAAAAGGATCTGAGGGGTCAAGTCAGCATTTGGAAGCAAAGCCAAAACCACAAGAGTGTGTGTGTGTGTGTGAGTCTTCCCTTGTGTGTGCATGTGCGCACGTGCCTGTTGAAGCAGCAAACATCCCTCTGAGGAAATACTCTGGCAACACAGACCATCCAAGTGCCAGCTGTGATCCCAAGGATGAAAAGGTGAGTGGAAGTACATCAGATTGAGGTTCAGCCAACAGGACCCCAGTCAGGTCCGACTCAGCCTTTGCCAACTCCAGGAGCTGAACTGGAATGCACAAAAGGCTCACCAAATCTGCTTTGAAGAGGGAAGCTCTTTGCAGGCGCTTGTCTCCCACAGCCAGGCTTAGAGATCATTGTAATAACACAGCAAACAGCAGCAGAAAGGCTGTGCTAATCTCCCTCCCTTCAATTTCTTTTGCAGGCACCAGAGACTCGATTTAACTTGCCCCATGCAGTCATTTACATATGTTCAGAGTCAGTGCAAAGTGGGTATAAAAGCACAAGCAAATCTGAATGGTAACACAACACACCCACTTGGAGCAGGTGTCAATGACTACACAAGGTGCGAGACAGGGGAGAATTAGGACTTAGGGGCTTTACAAAGGTGAAGCTGACCCTAAATGTGCCTTGTTCTGTTGAGGTGTTTGTACCGTGTTCATCCCTGCAGTATCTGAGCACCGGTGATGCGGCTCCAGTTAAATAGCAGCCCCAGAGCGTGAGAACTATACCCACAACCATCACTTGTCAGCACCACTTCAGGCAAGCAGGAACACATGTGACTTACATCAAAGGCCAGTTTGTAACACAGAACAGCTCATGCAGCTATGCTGTGGAGTTGAATTCTGGACATTCATGCAAGAACTTTTCTGGGATGAGCAGTGATCTAAGGACAGCAGTGACTGCAGTACCATCATTGCTCCTTGCTCGTGGCAGTATGGTCATTGCTCCCCTGGCCTATCCAGAAGGATCCCATAGGCCCTTCTCTGGAGCCCTAAGTGATTTAGGATATATAAGGCCAGATCCTCAGCTGATGTAAACTGTCATAGCTTCCTTGATTTCAGTGGCTGAGGAGCTGGCCCATATAGGTGTGTCATATAATGTATACATATGGGTTCCTAGGATACAGGGAGGATTTTTTTTAATAGGCATGGTGGCTGTTCTCTGCCACATACAATTTATTCATGTTCTGGATCATGGAGCTTGAATGGCTGTTTATATTTCCACTGCCTCCCTTTCAGAAGGAGCGCAGCCTTGTTTGCACTGTGATTCATAGGCAGACCCATGATGTAGAACGCTCTCTCCCGTGCCCTGAGCTCACCGGATTTCCCGGTGGCATGAACTTTGCGCCAGAAAGCAGGCTTTCAAATCAGTGGCACCAGCAGGAGCGGGATCCTCTTTTCAGTGGGTTTCCCAAAAATCTTTCATCTTCCCATCGCAGGCTGCACCAAAACCAAAGTTCCATTTTGTGTTTATCTTGCAGAGAAATCTCAGAGCTGCCTGGCTTTTTTCCCCCTAGGGATTGTGTCTATTTGAGCAAAGAGCCTTTGCTTTTGTTCTAGTCTTGTTTTGGGCTGGTGCTGTGCGCAGTTCCTTTCCGCAGTCACAACACTTTCTTTCACTCTGGTCTATATCCCAGTGAGATGATTCTTGGCTAAACTCTTCAGCATTAAAGGCCAGACTTTCAAAAGTGCTCAGCACCCAAAATTAGGACCAGATTGTCAAAAGGGCTCAGCACGCAGGGCAAGCAATGGGATATGCTGGGTGCTGAGCTCTTTTGAAAATTGGACCCTAATTGTGGGTGCTGACATCCTGGAAATCTGTCCCCACCAGCTTGCTCCTGCTTCTATTGACTTTAATGGAAGCAAGATCAGGTCTAAGCAAATTGAGACCTTGACACACATTACCACCAGTTTGCAGAGTCTTGCATCCATCTAGCAGCTGGATTTGCTTCAAGGGTTTGATTTTCAGAGCTGCCGAGCATCTATGGCTCCACTTGGCTTCAGTAGGAGGTGTGGGTGCTCAACACCTCTGAAAATCAGTGCCTGGGTGTACGTATTCTGCATGTTACCATGGCTCATCATCCGAAGACAGCTGCTGTACTTGGGGAGCCAACAGAAGCTGGGCTAAGCTTTCTCATCCTCACTGGAAGAGACTCTCTATCTATGTTAGAGTGACTTTATTCTTTTCCTGGGCTGCAGAAACTGAAGTAGCCAGTCCAAGTAGCTGTGTCATCACCAATTAAGGAGGTAGGGCCTGAAATCTGGAGGTGCCATGGAAATAAGGCAGTGTCCTAATTTGACAAATATGCATGATATCATTTGCATAAATTCTCTGTTCTCCCTCCTTCCCCAAAGATTTGCTCCCTTGAATTCTCCCCTGTGCCGCTCTCTTTGACCCTCTTCCCTCATTTCTGCTTTCCCGCAGCCCCCTGCAATCTATGGCAACCCTCTCCATCAATCATGTTTCCTTATACTCTCTCCACCCTACAGTGTGCGCCCTGATTTAGAGACTAGGCCTAGAGCGTGAGCCTCAACGCACTTGTGACCATTGTAAATCAGGGCCCAAAAAATCGTGAGATTCACTTCAAAATCATGAGTGTAAAATAATACCAATACATTTTGAGGCAGGTGTCCTGTGGCAAAAGTAGTCTGTGATCATGCATTGAAGATTGTAGTATAACGCATACACACACAAGAGGGGTGTATCCTAACTTTTGAGCACCGGACTTTGCAACCTTAATAATGTTGTTTGACTGTCGTTTTTATGGAGGCAATGTAGATACATAATGGTGAGTTGGGCCTTTTCACACAGGCAGATTCCCCTCCTTTTGCCAGTCTTTGTGTTGTCACTCAGTGGGACTTTGTCACATTTCCCACCAGTGTCTGACCTCAACCCCTTGTTTTCTGCTGCTCACCTCGTCGGGGTTGCACTCACTCTCTGCCTCATGCTCACTAGCTCCTGCAAAATGAAGGAGAGTCGGGAAGTTGGCTCCTTCTGAGTGGCGCATCTCAGCCCCTGGATTTCCAGGTCCCTCTGATGCAGCAACAAGCGCAGGACATGGGTGTCGTCCTTCTTCTGCAGGACCTTCGGCTGCACAGGAGGGGCTCTACAATGGAACCAAAGGATATATATTCCATTAAAATGATAATGATCCAAACCCATGCTCAGATCATGGGGAGGTTCAAACATTCTGTGCATCTCTAGAATACGGGCCACTTATTCAAGTGGCTCATTAAGGATTTAGGAATCTAACTTTAGTCATCTGGTTTTGAAAAGCTTGGCCATGGTACTTTTCATGCATATTGAATTGAACAAAGGATGGGATGGGTAAACATTATCACCCAGTTTTATAGAGGATGAAACAGGGGCAAAGAGAGGTGAAGTGACAAGCCCAAGATCACACAGTAAGTCAGTGGCAGAGCAGGAAATATAATGCAAGTTCCTTTCAGTCTGGTGCCCTATCAGCATCTGAGTGAAATCTCTGGATGAAGGGTGAGAGGGCTGGATTCTATGTTTCATTATAGTCCATTGGGCCAGGGTGTAAATTCAGGACTGGTATACTTCCCACAGTGCACAGTGGCGTGCATGCCCATGGGTGTCAGTAGGAGCTTTTCACAGTGATCAAGCAGAGAATATGGCCTCTGTGTAGTAACTAAACCGTTCATGCTTATTTATCATTTGTTTAGTGCCTTATCATCCCATTCATCACTGAATGAGACAATCTGCTCCCACTGCTACTTCTGTCCTTTGTGTCTCTTCCTTCCCCATCCTCCTCCTTCTGTTTATCTCCCTCTTCCTGGTCTTATTAAACTTCCTCTGCTCTTTTCTCTGCATTTCCTTCCCTTGAAGCAACTCCCCATTTCCTCCTGTGGGCTTCCCTCCCGCCACACCCTCCAACTCCCATTTCAGGGCACTAAAATGAACAGTGATTCAATAGTTTGTGTGGAAACTGAAACATCAACATTTGGGTTTTACAACGGATACTCCGATTAGATTAATAGGTGACTAGGGAATTCACACAGCTGAGTCATTGTTTCAGGCTATCTGCAGATTCAGGCGGCCATCCCGGCATCACCTGCACTCAGGATACACTTGCACAATTACCTTTGCAGCTATGAAGGCTAGAAAGTTTTTAGATTATCTGAGTGTCCTGCAAACTATATAAACACAGCGTGTGGACTGTCTATCTGACACTGCTGCCTGGAACCTTCCTGAAGTTTGCCCATCACTACCTCTTACTATTCACTGTTGCAGTTTACCAGGAGACAAACCTTTTGAGACACATTAGTGCTGCTTTAGGTGGACAGGCAACAGCTGGAAAATAAAGGGGCTCAGGAGCTCTGGGGATATGATGCTGAAGGTCACGAAGGCAGCCCCAGAAAATAAACAGTAATAAACAGCAAGGGGAAAATGTAATGTGTGGGGTGGATTTTCCTCCTCACTCCCTGCCTCTTGGAATATTTTCCTAGAATCACCTTGACCAGGCAACACAATAAAACTCTGTTTTCCTGGTGCTCCTCACTTTCCGCAAAAACGACAGGAAAACGTCCTCCTGTGGTACCCGACTTCCCACCACACTCTTCCCCCTTGCCCATCGGCATGCAGTGCCCATGCATCTGTAATGTCACCACCTCACTGACAGTATCTGATGCACAGGGCCCTTTCCCCTAGAGGTGTCCAGGCATCCGGCGCCTCTGTAATGTTTCCTCCCTACATTCAGGTGTAACCCACCACTCTGGGTGTGTCATGTGTCCTCTCTCTGTGTCTGATCCACAGAGTTTAACCACCTGCCACCACTCCTGGCTAGGAGGATTCATCTTTTAGTTCAAGGAGTAGAGGCCTGAGCCGAAGGTCCTGGGTTTAAACTCTGCTGTAAACAGATGGGGCTACTACTACACAGGTACTTGTTGTACAGGCCTCTTCACCCCTCTGATTCTGTAACGTCTCTTCCACATGCACATGTATCTGGTGACAGGCCCTTTTCCTATGGCAGTGCCTATGAACCTAGTGCCTCTGCAATGTCCCCTCCCTGCTGCCCAGACCCTGACCCCCTTGGCTGGCAGTACCCGTTCACCCAGTGGCTCTGTAACATTTTGCTCTCATGTGCCTCTGTCTGTTCCACAGACCACTTTCCGATAGGCTGGAATTGCCTATATACATGGTACCTCGCTAAGGTCCCCTCCCTACTTGCAGGTACCGGTTGTCTCTCTTGTCCGCACAGAACCAGCTTTTCAGCAGCCTGGATTACTTGTTGGCTTATTTATTTATTTATCTACTTGTTTTTCCCTTCAGAGCCATTCTTTACTCCCCATATGTTATAATAATTACAAGTGATAAGTTAACAGCTGGTCGGCTATTCTGGGCTCAGCAGAGCCGCCCGCCTCTTCCTTCCCTCCCTCCCACAGCTCTGGGTCAGCTTTTTGGCTCCAGCAATCAGGGATTCCTGTGATTTCTTAGACCCCTAAGAATCGGAGCTTTTCCTCAAACACCATCTGTCTTCCCCTCTCCCTCCCTCCCTCTCGCCATACGGCAAAGTGGTGATTTTGTGATTGTGACATCCATCTGTTGCCATGGAAAAGACTGAAATAGCAAAGGAATGTGACTCCCCTTGCTAGGAGGCCACAAAAAGAGATAGTGAAGGGTATTTTTTCCCCCGTTGGCATCAGTGTCCTTCAGCGTCAGTGATGATAACTGAGGGCCAAGCAATAATCCCATGACAGGTGTACGATACCAGGAGTGATTCTGATTGGGAGCTGTCTCCTGGGCCTTGCACCTCACTTTCTTGACCTGTCGTTAGAGATTTCAAACAAGCAGGTCAAAACAGTCTAAAGCCGTGTGCCCCTGGCATTCTAGTGGGGAATCCCCATCAGTGCCCCCAGACCGACCCAGTCCAAACACAATTGCTGACAAGATGATGACATTCCTTTGTTATCCAGTCTCTTTCCCCCATGGAGCCCCTGAGCCACCTTGGCCTAGTACGCAGCTGCTATTGCTCCACTCTCAGAAACTCATGCTAAGACCATCCCAGGAATCAAGTGTCAGGAGCTACTCTCCCACCAGTAGGTGGGTCATTTCAGAAATCCACCACCTTGGGAACATTGTCCCAAAGGACATTCAGGGAGCTGGTCTTTTGTGGCACAGAAAGGAGCACAATCACCGGTAAACATATTCTCTTTTGAGGGGATCTTCTAGAATCCCTCATTTACTCCCCTCCAGGCCATCATAGAATCTTGGCTCGTCTACATGAGAAGTGCTACAGCGGCGCAGCTGCACCGCAGCTGGTGACGATGCTCTATGCCGACGGGAGAGTATAATAGAACCACCTCTGCAAGAGGCGGTAGCTATGTCGGCGGGAGGAGCTCTCCCGCTGTCCACACTGGTGCTTAGGTTGGTGTAACTTACGTTGTTCAGTGGGGTGGCCTGTTCACACCTCTGAGTGACATAAATTATATTGACATAACCTGTAGTGTAGACAAGGCCTTAGAAATGTAGGCCTGGAAGGGACCTCGAGAGATCATCTTGTCCTTCCCCCTGTGCTGAAGCAGGACCAAATAAATATAGACCATCCCGGACAGGTGTCCAACCTGTTCTTAAAAACCTCCAATGATGGGGTTTCCACAACCTCCCTTGGAAGCCTATTCCAGTGCTTAAGTTTTTAACTCTAAGGGTAGTTTTTCCTAATATCTAACCTAAATCTCCCTTGCTGCAGATTAAGCTGATTACTTCTTCTCCTTCCTTCCTAGACATGGAGAACCATTGATTGCCGTCTTCTTTCTAACAGCCTTTAATATTTGAAAACTGTTACCAGGTCCTCCCTGTCTTCTTTTCTCAGAACTAAACGTATCCAGTATTTTTAACCTTTCCTCATGGGTCAGGTTTTCTACACCTCTTAATATTTTTGTTGCTGTCCTCTGGACTCTCTCCAACTTGTCCACATCTTTCCTAAAGTGTGCCGCCCAGAACTGGACACAGTGCTCCAGCTGAGGTCTCACTAGTGCCAAGTAGAGTGGGATAATTACATCCTGTATTAACAACACTCCTGTTAATACACCCCAGAATTATATTAGCCTTTTTCACAAGTGCATCTCATTGCTGACTCATGTACAATCTGTGATCCACTCTAATCCCAAGATCCTTTTTGGCAACATTTGCTACCTAGCCAGTTATTTGTGCATTTGATTTTTCCTTCCTGAATGGTTACAAAATTCACTATTATTGATGACATTTTGGGTTACAAATCAATTATTTAATGGTCATCAGCTGACTTCCCTTTGTGCATATTGCTGTCCACCTCACCCCAGCCTAAGCCAGCACAAGGTTACAAAACTGCCCTACTAGAGACTCTGAAACAGAAAATCAGATTTAAGAGTGAAGCTTGCAGCAGTCCATTTGCCTAATTCAAAGATGGGTATGAGAAAACCATGTGAGCAGTTCTAGTTCCAGGAGCTATTGGGGCATAAATGTGAATGAGATCCCTGCCTACTTTGCTATTCCTCGAGAAAAGAGAGGGAGACACGGACATTGTTGCATAAGGATTTCTGTACAAACCTGCAATGATATGGAGATGAGCTCTATTTGGCTTATGTTGTGGCTTGAAGCAGTTTGCACCTGTGTGGGAGATACCCTGATGCACTTTCTATGCAAAGGGATCTCCTTTAAGAGTTAACATTATAGATGTACAAACTAGAAAGACCAGCTTGGTGCTACTAGATCCAAGAGGTAGCAAGGTTGAATGGCTCGAGCATCGACCAAGAACCAGGCACTTCGGAGTTCCAGCCCTGCCTCTGCCATTGAGTCATTATGTTGTCTAAAGTGATTTGCGCAACATCTCTGGGGATAATACTTTGCAAATGTATTGAGAGGAGGAGCTGGCTGATATGTGTACAGTGCTTTGGGAATGTAACATACAATGTAAATTTTTAGCAGTAGTATTCTCTTAGTTTTAGCACCATGTGCTATGCAGGTATGGATGCTAGACAGGGTCACATGTTCTCTGAGCCATTTGAGAGTGGAAAGCTATCAGAAATATCTTGTGAGGGTTAACCATTGTTCAATGACGCTCCTGCTGGCTAATTAGTGGCCGCATCATTGTTCCCTTTAGACTCCACCCTTGCTCTCAGCTAGACTAGAGCTGTGTTAGGTGTATGGCCCAGGAAGTGATAAAGGGCCTTTGTAGCGGTGCCATCTGAAATCATGTGATGTCCAGGTTTCCTTACTTTCACACAGACCAGGTAGAGTTCTCTCTTACGGAAGGTGCTGCACATTATGGGTACTCTTATGCAAATGACTTGCTAACATTCTGCATCTGGAGGGAAATGCCAGTGAGCTTGCCTGCTTTTCAAAACCCTCCAGAAACCACGCCTTCAAATTAATAGTGGAAATAAACTCAGGCATGTAAATCCACTACATTGGTTCTCATTTACATGCCTTGCTACAAGGTAACAAGGTGGAGTTTGCTAACAGTGACCAGCAATTTATTTTAATAGCAATCCCCTGGGCCCAATTTTCACACCAGGGGCTTGAGAGAGCACCTACATCCCACATTAGAGGATTCTAATTGGTGCTTGACACCAGCTGTGTAAAAAGGGGACTTACCTGCATGCTGTGTATCTGAATGCAGGACTGCCAGTCCTAGTAAAGCCCCAATTTTGAAAATTGTATTCCATGTGTTAAATAGAACGGGCAAGTGGTAGGAAATGAGAGCCATGAGAAGAGAGAGGTTTTTGTGGTAGGACATGGTATTGGGACTCAAGAAAATCTGGATTCTATTCTTTTCTCTGCCTCAGAGTTTTGAGCGGTCTTCGGTATGTCCTTTCACCTCTCAGAGTGTCAATTTAGCCCCTCTAAAATAGGGACAATACTTACTTCCCACACAAGATTTGTGAAGCTGCATTAATCGATGGATGTAAAGGGCTTTCAGCTCTTCAGAGGATGCTATACAAAGGGGGTGTTATGCTGATGGCACACTTGAAAACTTAGCCGCAAAGTGAGTGCATTGATACGTACTTGGGCTGTTGCTCGGGGGCTACAGAAAGAATCCCATAGCAGCTGGTGCCATCTTCTCCCTGGCCCACATCCTCTCTGGCAGGCTGCATGCTGCTCTCAGTGTCTATGGGAGGAGCCTGGTTGCAGAAGGTGTCTTCTCCCAGACCCTCACTCCTATTGGAGTGATGTCTGTGCAGGTTGTCCTCTTTCTGTGTTTCTCCCATGGTTCTAGGATCATCTTCAGGCAGCAAAGGCAAATTCTCTGGAGCCCTCCTGGGAAAGGAGAAATAATTGTAATGAAGTGGGTTTTAGCCCACGAAAGCTTATGCCCAAATAAATGTCTCTAAGGTGCCACAAGGACTCATCATTGTTTTTGTGTATAGAGAGTGTCTGTTCCTCCCAAGCGAGCCAAATGATGCCCTTCCTTCTTTCCCTCTCATCAGGGACCTCTCCGACATCAGAAAATGACCCTCCAGCTCTCACCTCCACTGATGTACATTATTATTAGCCCCACCTGCTACCACTTGCTTACCATAGGGCCTTAGTCATGAGGAGTAAGACTTTATAAGTAATTCCACTGGGATAGATTGTGCCTTTAAGCACAGCCCCAATCAAGGAGCGCTACATAAGCTACCCCAACCAAGAATAACCCCAGGCGGCATCATGCCCGAGACATAATTCCTTGCTCCAGGAGAAAGAGGGATGGAGGAGTAGGCTGTACCAGCAGCAAACTTCAACACCCCCTTTCCGGCTCAGCTCCACTAGTTGGTGCATTTGGTGGGGGGACTCCCATTCCTCGCCCCTTCCTGCATGCTCCCTGCTCCCTTGCTTTAGATGGGAAGTAGAGCCCAGTGCTGGACTATTTTAAATTCTTCTCCCATCCCACTCCCACTATTATGGCAGCGGGTCCTGCGGGCCCCACGGGATCCTGGTCCCACTGCAGGGCTCTACACTTGTCCTGGGCAGGGCTCTAATGTGAAGTAAAGTGGGAGCTGAGTGCCTGTTTGCTCCTGGGCACCCATGTAGCCCACACAAGGATTTATGGGGGTGGGGAGGGTTAAGAACATAAGAATGGCCTTACTGGGTCAGACCAAAGGTCCATCTAGCCCAGTATCCTGTCTTCCGACAGTGGCCAGTGCCAGATGCCCCAGAGGGACACCTTAGTCTTTTTACTCCCCTGCATGGGTCTGTAGTCCAAGGGCTTGCCTGCACTTAAAACGCTGCCGCACAGCGTAAGTACTCCACCCCCTGCAGAGGCAGTAGCTAGGTTGGTGAGAGAATTCATCCATTGCCCTAGTGCTGTCTATACTGGGGGGGGGGGTAATAAAAGATTAACCGTTTCCGCCTTATTGTATGTGCGGTGTTTGATGTCATCGATAATTGTGCATGTGATTCAACAGTACATTACTCCAGTTTTACACTAGCATTTTCCCCGATAGAACTGATGTGAAGCTGAAGTCATGCCGCATTGGATCACACACTGTGTGTGCAAATAAAGTGCTTATGAAAGGTACTGGAGACTGAAGTCCTCTATCCACAGAACAGATGCAGCATGGATAGGGTGACCAGATGTCCTGTTTTTATAGGGACAGTCCCATTTTTGGGGACTTTTTCTTATATAGGCACTTATTACCCCCACCCCCTGTCCCGTTTTTTCACAGTTGCTAGCTGGTCACCCTAGGCATGGACAATGAGAGTGCAAACCTTCCCCACGCTGCTCTGTTAACAGGCCTCAGCTTTGATGTGGGAAACCTCTTGTAAAGTGTCCATGGCTCATTCAGTCCCCAGCCTCCCTGCTGAGACTGCCAGCCAGGGTACTAACTGACTTCCGTTTGTGATGTGGACACCTGTCCACTAGGAATTGGACTGACAGTATCAGACTCATTTCACATATGGGCCACCCAACAGAGAAATTGAACTGCCCAAACTAGGGGCAAGGTTGGGTTGAGACGAGGGTCAGAAACATGGGAGGGAAAGATGGTTGATGAGTACAAAATACATAGGTAAGTGGATCTAGTACACACAAGGAAGAAGAGAGCTCCTATTGTGTGGATAGCGCTTCCAATTTTGTGGACACAATCCATAGCATTTGGACCTGGTCTATAGAAAAAACAATTTAGTTAAATTGATGCAGTCCCCTAGTGCATTCAGTTATGTCAGTAGAAACATGGTTATTTCAGTATAACTTGTTTTGATTAAACACTTCTCTGTCGACATAACTGCATTTCTGCTAGGGGGCTGCCCTGATTTAATTAATCAGTGAATAAACTGAATGTAGGTGAGGCCTTAGATGTCTAAGTGCTATGATTTGTGCCTGTAATTAATAGTGGGTGAAAAATTGGGCCTATAAAAATAGAGGCTGTTTTTAGATCAGGCTCATAATGCTTCCAGAGAGGTCTGTGTTCTAAAATAGGTCAGTCCCTGCATGTATGGCAGCAGACGGAACAGGTGCAACCTATGGTTTTCTACCTCTCTGTTGTACATCAGACCTCTAAGAGTCTGGGATTAATGACACCAAGACCTGGTCTACGCTTAAAAATTTTGCTGGCATAGCTATGTCGGGTAGGAATGTGAAAAAACTCACACCCCTGTCCACAAGAGCCCTAGGGTATGCCTACGCTTACCATTTAAAGTGCAAAAAGTCCCTTTTTTACACTAAAACAGCGGGAGTGTCTACACTTGTTAATGACTTTTTGCAGTGAAACTCAGAAGTTTCATCGCAAAAAGAAAACCACCTTCACGAGAGGCATATAGCTCTTACCGCTGTTCTTTTTGTGCTGCTGTGAAAGTGAAGACACGTTCTACCAGCGTAAACCCCCTTTGGCCTCTGAAGGATATCCCACAGTTCCAAAAGTGGCCACTCTGGCCAGCATCTCTGCTGCTCTGCTGCACGGAGGTCCGCCCCTCCCCCTGTAAGCCCCGGGAAGTTTGAAACTCCCTTTCCGTTAGAGTGACCAGATGTCCCGATTTTATAGGGACAGTCCCGATTTTGGGGGCTTTTTCTTATATAGGCACCTATTACCCCCCACCACTCCCATCCCGATTTTTTAACACTTGCTATCTGGTCACCCTACTTTCCGTTTGCTTGTAGATGTGGCAGGGAAAGCAGCCAGACAGCAGGCGGTTTTTTAAAAAATGCCATGGAAGAAACCAGGAAGTAATAGGGCTGCTGGGACATGCTAGGGCAGCACGGAGCACTGAGCAGGGACCCAGAATGCCTTCCTCTCACCCCCCCCTTCCCACAAGACTTATCGAGAGAGCTGCACTGTGGGATAGCTGCCCTACAGCGCTGCTCTCATCGGGGATGGAAGTGCTGCTGGTGAAAACACTCTGACTCCTGAAGAATTGAGTGGGTACACAAACCAGAGTTCTACTTTCGCCGGTTCTCTATCACTGGTGAAATTCACAGCGCAAAAACTCTGTAAGTGTAGACATAGTCCTAGTCGAGACACAGTTATACCAGCAAAACAGTCCTTTTGCTGGTGTAGCTTATTTCGTTCGGGGAACTGGGATAAGCGATACTGGCAAAAGAACTCTTGCTAAAATAAGCTGCATCTCCGCTAGGAGTTTTTGCCTGGATAGCTGTACCAGTATAGCTGTACTGCCAAACCCTTTCTAATACAGACAGGACCTAAGACTTGAGTTGTGCTGATGCTCCTTTACTAGGGATCTATATCCTGACCTTGTAGAGGAATGGACCCTGTTGATACATAGGCCTCTTTCCAGTCAGTTCAGAGCTGTGTGTCTGGAGCTGTGTGTCTTGCCTTAGGCTTTGTCTACACCGGCACTTTGTCGGCAAAACTTTTGTCGTTTAGGGGTGTTTAAAAAACACACACACCCCTGAACGACAAAAGTTTTACTGACGAAAAGCGCGGGTCTGAACAGCGCTTTGTCGGCAGGAGCACTCGCCCGCTGACAAACAGCAGCTACGCTGCGTGGCTTTTAGCGGCACGGCTGTAGCAGGACACCTGTGTCACTAAAAGCTTCGTAGTGTAGCCATACCCTTCAATGAAGTCTTAAAAGAATTTAGTCAAAGCAGCCAAATGCATGGTGGAGATAGCAGCGCATGCGAGACCGTATCTCACAGCCAGTTCACCTGGGAATCTGCACCCACTCATTAAATGATGCTCTTTTCTTGCTGAGCTCTGCTGAAAAGCTCAACAAAGATATAAAGCTCCTGCTCCTTGTCTCTCAACTTTTGCTCAACTCTCTCCATTTCCTAGTCCCATCCCACATTAGGAGCTTATAAATGACTTTCCCTTCCCTGGGCTTCATGTTTTCCCACCTGTTTTTCACTGTGCGCCCTCTCTTTTTCAAAACGAGAGAGCTGTGCGTCTAACCAGAGGAGGCCTGGAGGCTTTTCTAAAGATATGTAATGGCATCGTTCCCTTCTAAACCTGAAATGCCCAGAATATGGAGATTGTTTCCCTTGGCCTGTTTTCCAGGTCATCCAATTTCTCCTCAGAGCTGCTCATCCCCTCAGATCATGGAAGACAAATCCCCCTTTATGCCACTTGTATCACCAGCTACTTTTAGTAGCTCATTTTCTAAGTAAGACATTTGGGATTTAACATGAGAGCCCTCATCTCTGAGGGAATGTGTGTCTATTAAAATGCCTGGTTTTTTTCTCTCAGTTGCTATCTCCTGTGCTAAGCTCTGCATCCCACTGTCCTAGGGAGGAGGAGATTGCTTAAGCAAGTGAGTCTTTGGCCTCTTATGTATTTAGACATCTGAATCCATCTGTGGCAATCCAAAAAATATCTGGGCAGTGTTTTTTGGTGTGCTTTTTTTTAACTTTTTGAATTTTTGTGATTGATGGGGTGTATACACCTCACGTGGACAGCAAAAAGGTTACTGGGAGCCCAAAGGCTCAGCTAGCTCACTCGTGGCATCTGGAGGGTGCATTAGGTACAGTTTGTTTAGCAGACCCAGCTGGGTAGGAGCTGGGTCATCCCATAAAGGGAGGCACTCAAAGCAGCGAGGGCAAGAAGGCCTTGGGAGCCTCTCCTGAGAAGAAAAGGAGTACTTGTGGCACCTTAGAGACTAACCAATTTATTTGAGCATAAGCTTTCGTGAGCTACAGCTCACTTCATCGGAGAAGGGAGCTCTGCCAAAGGGCCAGGGACGGCAGAGACACTGAGAAGCAACAGGAGTAGCCTGAGTCCCTCTGGCGGGTCTTGACCAAGGAGCAAGACCCCAGGCAGGTAGCCCTGTGGGTTGGTGCTCTGGAAGAGGAGCATGGAGCTGGGGAGAAGCCAGAGAGACTGAAAGCTGAAGCGTAGGATGGTCAGGGTGGCTTACGTCATGTGTGGTTCTGTTTGGGGCTTTTCTGCAGGTGAGCCCCAGGGAGTGGTCTGGGAATCCCCTGTTCTGAAAGAGCCCTGGAGGGGATGGAACCTGCGTTGGTGACTAGTGCAGTGCAGGGCATTGATACTCCGGAAGGGCTGGATGGTAGCGTGACCTGGCCTGAGGGCCATATCATCACGCTAGGCCATAGGAGTCCAGGGGAGGTGGAAGTGTTGCCATGCTGGGCCTCACTGTGAGAGGGC